TCCCTTCTCGCTGAACGCCTCGCGGAAACACGATCGTCGTCGGTCCCTTCTCTATGTACAAAATTCCACTTTCATCTTCACCTTTCGCTCTCCTAGCCACCGAGGAGGATCTCGTCCCGGATCTGGACCCCCACCGGATCGTCGATCGTCTTCGCTTATGTACATTCGACGACGCGGCAGCGGCGGAGACGAGAAAACCGCGGTTCCATCGTCGGGTCCAACGACGAGGAAAGGAGATCCACGAGATCGTCCTCAGCGATCGCTCGATCCTCCCGTCCTGTCCAGTGTCCAAAATCTCTCCCTAAGTCATACATTATCGGCGTGACCGCGTACACACACATACACACATGCGCATACATACATACACACACAGAATAACCGGTGATTCTCTTTATATCCCTTCAATAGTCCAGATTTTTCTCTCCTTCGCTTTAAGGGTTTCTCGAGGGTGGGAATTGGTTTTGGGTTAGGGGTTTGTCGTAGCGGGGATCGATCGTTTCAAGTAGAACCTCGATCGCACTACACGCTTCTTACATCTCGAAAGAGAGGAACCATATTCCTTTGTCTTCTCGCTGTTTATAAAAATAATTTCAAGCCGCCTTCGCAGGGGGTGGGGGGTAGATGCCTCTTAAAAGTAACTTACTCTCTCCCACTCTTTCTCACTTTCTCACACATACTATACTTCTTTCGCTCTTCCGTTCACTCTCTGTCTCTTTCGCTCTCCCTCCCTCCCTTCCACCTTCACTCAAACTCTCATACCCTCCCTCGCGCCCTTACACCTTCTCTCCTCTCTCACTCTCTCTCTCTCTCTCTCTCTCGCTCTCTCGTTCTCTCGCTCTCTCTCTCTTTGTTTATCTTTCTCTCTGTCATTCTCTCTTCTTCCGTCTCTCGCGAATTGGATATGCTTTCGCATCGACGCACAGAAAACAATTTTTCCTTGTTCGTCGGTGATGCGCGTGTGATTTGGAGTCTATTCTCGCAGGAAACAAACCGTTGATATTACCGGGTGCTGCTTTCGTTGCACACTTGGAATCTCTATTCGCGCCCTGCACCGTGTATCCGTTCCTCCCGTGTGTTGCGTTGACGACTGAACACAGGTATCCCACGAACAGCATCTTCGTGGAGTACAGTTCTCCGAGCGGTATCTTCTTTTACCAGTTTCCCGTCTCTTCCCGGGGTACGCACCGATTAGTTCGAAGGGGTGTGCACCTCCAACGGTTTTTTTTCGGTCGGACTCGTCGCCGAGCGATACCCTCGAGTTTCTCTCTCTTTCTCTCTCCCTTTCTCTGGCTCGTACGACGGGCACACACGGGGCCGGGGAAACGTCCTCTCTTTGTATGCACGCGTCCCGAAGCCACGAATAAGTTTAAGCTGTATCTACCCCTTTTAACACAGGATCACACCGCCGCTGAGCCGCTGCTACTGGGGCTGCGATGGATTGTGCTGAAGGGAAGGGGGCGGACCCTGTAACAAATAAATTTGAGATCTGTATTAAAGAAATTATTTTTTTATAGATAAATAAACATACTATTATAGATGGGGGATAGAAAATAAGTACTATGTAAGTATTGTACAAAATCTACTAATTTTTACTAATTTTGTTTTTGTGTTGTAATCATTTTTGTTGACCGTTGTTTTTTTTAAATGGAATGAAAATGTCGAGGGTAATAACAAAATAATAGTAAATTAGATAGCAATGTATGAAATAAATCAATGTCTTTATAGCTGTTTGTGAGGCGTGTTGGATATTCTGTTATAATGATTATTACAGTTATGATGATTTATTGAACAATAATTACTAACAGTTTCTTTAATTATATACTATTTAAATAAAGAATCGCTTAAGACATTTCCTCAGTGAAATATACTAAACCAGGTTTTGACATTTACAATTTAGCGCGATACTGAATGTGTTAATTAACCGCTCAAGATCATTCGTAGATATCGCAAATTTCTTATTATTCGGACGTATACGATCTCATTAGAAAGTAACTGTAATTGGATCTGAATTCATTCGGAAATAAATACATGCTTAAGAAAAATCTTTAAGTTATAGCCGAACTATCAATTTCTTGCCATTACTATTTCAAGAATTCCTTATAGTCTTAATACCGAGCCAATTAATTCAAATTCTTGCAGGATAACTTATATAAAAGCTGATTGCGAGAAATCTTGTTCGACCAGATAATTTAGTTTGGGATCGTGTAAATATAACGGAAGAAAGACTTACAGGCATCGCGGAAAAGGGTGGCTGAGAATGCGGGTGGGGGTGAGGGTGCGGGTGAGCTATGTGTGCCGCAAGATGGCCGGGTAGTTTCGGTCCATCTTCGGCTTTTTCTTCCTCTCTCCTCTTCAAGCACGCTGCCTTTGGGTTAAGATTTCGTTCTGCAAAAAGATAATCATTGGTTCAGACAACATTTCACGGAATCATAAAACGGAGTCGGTTAACACTAAACGTACCGACACTTTGTGCATACCTACTCCTACCGTAACTAATTAAATAACTGGTTATAAAATAAAGGTAAACAAGTTAGACGATAAATTTTCTCGATTAGAAATAGGAATACAAGAATTGATATGAAGTTAAATGAACGAAGAGCGCGGAATTTTAAAGCAAATTTTAAAACTGATCAGTTGACCGGTGGTGGTATGTTTAGTGCTAAAATCATTCCAATACCAACCTCTAACTTGCTGTTCCAGCGTCATGATCACTTCAACAGCCATATTGAGGATACCTAGCTTCGTTTGAGGCTTGTCCGTCTTCAGATGCGTCATACACATTCTGCCGAGTTCCTTAAGGGCCTCGTTGATGTCTCTAATACGTATCCTAAACGGACAAATCACCGTTAACTACTAAACTAAATTATTATTCAGCGGTTATTCAAAGTGGGATTTCGAGGATCATGAAAATCTGTTTAGTACCTAAGTTTCCTTGCGCAACGCTTCGATAATTTGGAAAATAGTACAGAAGAGAACCATCTCTGCCATTTTTTAATAATTTGATACTTCAACCGACTCGCAACAATTTAAAAATTCTCTTCATGAATAAAAATACTCAGTAAAGAAACATTCATTGCTCTATCCCAAATTCCACTCACGAAACTACATCAGTTTCTACTCAACTGGTTAGCATCAAACGAATCTCCGTCCCTCTGTCACAAGACCATGAAAACTTATGCAAAACGAAATTTTCAGATACGTAAAGCGGAAATCGATTTCGCTCAGTTTGCAGATTCCTCGATAAAAACACAGAGAGAAACGTTCTCTAGCGATATCCTTCAAGAATCTCAAGGTTCTTTGGCGTGATAGCACTGCCGACTGATCTGGCACCTCCCTTTGGTCACATAGAATACGGGCCGAGCTCGAGTGTCTCTCGAATCGTTGGAAAATCGGATGGGAAGAAGAGACTCGCGATTCACTGCACGCCGATCCTGCGTCCACCGGTTTCCTTACCTTTCCCTAGCATTGTTCGCCTGCCGCCTCTCTTTCTCCCTTTGCGCCTTCACGTCGGGATCGTCATCCTCGTCCTCGGCGCTCGAACAACAGTTGCGCAATAACAATACTCGATTAATCACCTGACGTAGGCGTTCGATCCCCGCCGTTTGATCGTCCTGGATCGAGCGATCGCGACAGCAATGAAAACCGTACAGTGATTCTACGCTCCGCGGCTCGAAATTCGGAAAGGCGAGAAACAAACGTCGCTCGAGATCCTCTATTTTGCGTATTTAATCTGTTAGAGTCTACCGTTAATATTGCTTCTTTCTTTCCTTACTCAATTCTCTTTCAACTGAACACACGCAGAGCTGATCGTGGTTATGGACAGACAATCAAGGTATTCCGTACTCTATGTCTTTGGGCCCGTATTCTTTGCACAGAGAGAACAAACCAGCGTTCAGAGAGTTCGAACTAGAGAGAGATACAGGGGTTGAAAACAGTTGATATCGATTCCGGTGCTTGAAACAGTTATAGAGAATCGAAATGGAATCATAATTGTTATTAGGTATATCGATACTATGACTGTTATTTTTCGATTCTGATAGAAATACAGAATCAGCAAATAACAATTACAGAACCGAGACCGAAACCGATGTACCAAATAACAATTATCACTATGTTTCGGTTCTCCATAACTTTCAGTCGAAACCGATATAACAGTTCCAAACAGTTATTCTCGAAACCTTTTCAATCCCTGGAGATATACCGTGATTGTATATCGTCAGGAGCTGTGATTGTTCGTGCTGTTACCTAGAAAATTGAGAATTCTTGGGTGGTGTTTTTTCGAGGGGTTAGGGAGTGGGACATCGTGACAAATGAAGGGATGTTCTTCGAGTCGGTCGAGTCTGAAAGAAATCTTCATTATGCAACTGCAACAAGGGTGATCGTGGGGAACCTTTCTTTTTTACAGAACCTAAACGGACGGAGGCATCGTGGATTTCGGTTCATTAGATGGACCAATGTCTAGCGACAAGTCGATCAGAGTGGTATGCAGATGGGAAGACGGGTGTGCTCGTAAGAAAACGGATAGTGAACAAGAAAATATTAAGATGGTGAGTTTTGGCATGCCTTTGAAGGAGTTGGCCGAATCACAGCCGAATTAAAATGAGACTGATTGATGAACTGTCGATCGTACTTGTATCGTTTTCCTGTCCTTAACCAGACGCATTTTAATTGTCACGCTAGAATACGGGCCTCGCGGTCAGGGGAGGAACGTAAGCATGCCAAATATAGCGTTCAGAATCGACGAGAAATATATGTTCTTCGATTATTCTTGTCTTAGCGACTTACTTTTTTTCTTTACTTCATTTTTTCTCTCTACCTTTCTCCCACGGTTTTTCGTCAAGCATGCATACGAACAAGTATTCGACGTCCTGGAAGGGGATTCACGGAGGATTTGAGAGTACAACGGGAGTGCGTACTGCGTGTGTTCACTAACCTTTCACGCACGTTGTTGGCCTGGCGACGTTCCTTCTCGCGCACCGCTTTGGTGCTGGGATCGTCGCAGTCTTCGTCAGCGCTCGAACAACGGTTGTTTAAATGCAATCAGTTAGTTGGATTCTGTGTTTCACGCGAGACGCGGACGGGAAACGGAATTTCCGGCCGCGGTCGGGGGTTGTAACTACCCCTTCAGTTCCCGCCTCGAATTTAAATCTACTTCATTGCGATATAACTAATTTGTCTTTGTTATAATTTAATGTCCGTGCAATAAGCGTTAGGCTAGAATGTAAAATTTCATGCAAATTCACAGTTTCACGGATAAGTTTTGGGAAATGAATATTGAAAAATTTCCTGTTTCCTCGATAACGTTTAGAGCGAATACAGAATCACTGAATTGTGACGAGCAACATTAATATTCTAATACATAATGAAGTTAACAGTAACAATTACAAATTTGCAATTTATTTATTATCTTTTGATGGAACCCGCCCCCCAGTTAATAGTCTCTTAATTTCGAAAGTAACTTCAAAACGAGACTCCACTGCAACTTAAACAAGCCATTAAAAACATCTTAACAAACATCTTCAAGGAATTATGTAACAGCGAATAAGATAGCAAGAAAATAGCACGAGGCTGAAATCCGATAAATTTTGTTGCACGCGATACAGACAATCGGCTCTTCATTTTTTTTTCTATATTTACGTTAAATACAATTAAGTGGTTCACCTTGTGCAATAGGCGAGGAGTATTTACACAGAGTTCTATTATTACGCGTTCGAATGAATTTTATAGGTAAAGATGTCGATGCAAATCGATTCGAGGCGGTAACTGATTCGAGAGGAAATGTTTGCTTTATAAATTACAATACTGTTTAAACTCGATGTACGGTTATCCGTTTGAATCGGTTTCACTACTGTCACTTTCCGACGGTCGTTAACGACGCGCCTCGATCTCGGAACACAAGGATACATCCAGGATATACTTACTATCTGCGCGATCTCTTCGTGCCCTTTCCCTGGGACGTCGAGTTGACCGTGGCCGCGCCGATCACACCCGCCGCTGCCAACTCGCTGCTCGACGGTTTCGTCTCGCCGCCACTACTGTCCGGAGGGTCCTTTCTCTTTTCTAAAGAGACGTATTCTATTCATTATTAATACTGCCGTTAAACATCTTGCATTGGAAACACTGATAAATAGACGGCGGATCTTTATGCATTATCAAAATGTTCGGAAGACGCTCAGAGAAACAAAGATTAACCCCTTGCGTTATGACTTCCTCCGCAATAGTCACCGTTAGGGTCATTCCATTGTTAACCCTTTGCCCTTTGGTTTCTTCTTCTTGAGTCCGACGCGATGTTATAAGGCGAGGAGTTAATTATTGACTAACAAAAATTATGATTAAAAATTAAGATCGATAAGCTAGAATTGATGAAATAGGATGATATTCACATTTGACAATTTCTTCTCTTAGGAACCTTTTTGATTTGAAAATAAAGCATCAAGATTCTGAAACTTTTGAGTACTTCCATACTTTATATTTTATGCATTTGTATTTGTCATAAATGCATAAAGTCCGCTGTCGACTGGTAAATTATCGATAATGTTCGTGGAATAGAGTTCGTGGAGTTATATGCGACCCAAGGCTTCTAAAAAGCATTAATTACCCCTCTGATTAATTTATTCGTATTTAGAATTCTCCTCGAACGATGCTTTCGATTTTAGAAATTATTCTAAACTATTCTAGTGACGAATATAAATAAATCCACAGAAATATCATTTAAAGGAGTAATTTTAAAAATTAATTCTTGTTTCTTACTATCTATAATGTTCTAATTATGATACTGTTCAAGGTATTCTTAGAAATATATTTTTCAATATCTCTGACAACTTTGAAGATTATTTTCACCCCTTCAAAGCAAGTTGTGACCGACAAAAAAAATTTCAAATATTTTTTACATTTTATTTATTAATATCAAATATTTCTATAAGCCCTACTTTCTCCACTTTTACTTAAAATCAACGAACACCTGAAATTATTATCCATCAGTTTCAACACTGAAACAATTATATCGTTCTTCAATCAAGATACATAATCGATCCATCTTCGATATCGCGAGTTGACTCGCAATTCTCGATTAGCAGCTCCATGGAATTCCCCGCGTAAACCTCGACTCGTCATTCCCATTGAGAATAAACGACGCCGGATGAAACAGAACAAACAGAAGAAAAAAAAACGCTTCAGACCATTTTAGAAAATAGATCGTTAATTCCGCCGGCCGACGATCGTGGCGAAAAGGGAAAAAAAGAAACGCGGTTGGATCTTACCCCGGAAGCGTCCGGCGACCTTCGCCGAACACGGCGATCGCGATTCACGGCATTATCCTCGAGCTTTGGGCCGCTTAGTCACGAAACCGTGAAAACCGTCCAATTACGAGCAGGAAGCGTTTCAAGCTCGATACTGATTCAACCATCTCCATAAACGTTCCCTCCGCGGCTTGACAATTCACGAGCGGTTTCGCGAATGCATTAAATCCACGGCTCTAGCCGGACCGTTTGTTCCACAGATAAATCAGACTGCCGATTGTGTGCAAAGGTCCACGAACGGATTTCTTTTTCTCCCGCCAATGTATATATATATATATATTGAACGGGTTTGTCCTGAGACTCTATTGGCGCTCAAGTAGTTTAAATATCTGGCAAACAACTTCTCTTGTCCTTTTCCATTGACGAAGGAATGGAATATAAAATACAAATAAAAACAGGAAATAAACGAATTAAACTCTCTCGTAATACAGTATTTTGGAAACAGTTTCAAAATGACTGATGGAAGCATTGCATCTTTGTATAACACGACATCCTTCCAATATGGAATTAATTGTTAATTATTGTACTATAATTAGGAATAATTAATCCTTGTACGAGTAACGAAAATGTTTGTAGTTGAATAACCGTTATTACAATATCCTTACACCGACTTCCATGATCAGGATACAAATCATGTTAAAAAAAACAATTTAAACAAGCTTCATCGAATTCCGGTAAAGAGCAAATCGAACGTAAGAAAACCTAGAAACGGGTAGTTAGGTCGGCTATGTGACTGGCGAAAGGTTAACCGTGTTATGAGGGTCTCCTGCGCAAAGAAAAGCGAGAGAAAAAGGAAACCGGTAAAAGAAGAACGAAGAGCCAATCGGATATCCACGATCGCAGCGCGTTCTCCATCCAATATGGCGGTCACCGGCGCGGTGGGCGGAGGGAGTGCGGTCTGAATTCCGCGCCGCCAGAAATGGTCGAATGATGGTGAAAAGAGCGCTTCTTTGGCGAACTGCCCTCGGAAAACTTGCGCATTCCATTAGGCGACCGCCGGGAGAAGGATTACGGAGTAAGAGGAACAAGAAGCGTGACAGAAACGGAGACAATGGGGTGGGAGGGAGGCGGGAGGCCGACTGTTGCAGAGAGACAGAGGTCTCGGAGAATAATAAAGGCACGACAACGATGCAGGATAGTAGCTACTTCGCGTGATTTATCTAATGTTTCCTTATCGGGCTCCAACTCCGCCGCGGAACACCTGGGAACTCCTTCTCCTCTATCTTTTTTCCTTTCTTACCCCGGGTGCCGCGAGCGCGCAAGCTGCTCATGGGAAAAAGTGCTTGCCCGATGATGCGACACCGCGAATAGAAACGAGCACGGCCAGCCCGTTTGTTGGAGCTCATTGACACTCGTCTTTGGTCGCATTAGTTGGGATTATTTATTATGTTCGTTTCTTGTCGCGTCTTATGTTTATAGGGGTGGACGTTTGGGGGTCTCGTTGAAGTTGAATTACGGTTACTTGGCAGATTTTTTTACAGTTCGGTGTTTTGTGATTTGTGTGGATGAATAGATTGGGGAGTTTGAGACTTGATGTTTGTCGATTGGTATAAGAAATTCATTGCCAATTGTGTTGTCCGTTTACGATGAGATTTAAATGAGTGGAATGGTTTTACGCTTGAATTGAACGGAATTAACTATTGAAGATTTGAAAGACGTGAAAGAATTTTTTTGTTTCAGGAGAAACTATTGGAGAATGAATAAAATAGACATTTACTGGAACTAAATGTAAAAGGACATTATATTCTATTTAGTGTGTGAAGAATCCCGAGTTGTACCGTGTATTTAAAATATTCTTAGTTTTACCCTCGAGGAAAGGCGCGAAATTCTCGAGACCCATCGAGTTAATTACTTTTCAGCCGACACTTAAACTGACTCATAAAGTAACAAAGCTATAAATTACCACCGGGAATCAAGATTTATTAAGACATCGTACTCTATTCCAGGAAACTGTCGACAGTAGATAGAAAAGAAACTCGTCAACTTACTGGCATTCGACACAGGTAACCTCTCGATTTTGATAGAACCGTCTGTGTCGGGCGTGGGGGTGAGACCAGGGTAGGAACCCTGGGGTTGCGTCACTGTTACCGCGGGATGTGGACTCGTCTGTAATTAAAAAATTCATTAATGATGAACTGGAAGCCCGTTAATCAGAAAATGCAAACAATAAAACAAATGTTTGATATTGATCAATGGTTCCTAAACTTTAATAAATTGAGACCCATTTTCGAAACTGATCATTCTGTTGGAACATTCTCAATTTGTATACAATTATTAAATAAAATATGTAATGTTTAATTGCACATATTCATTGAATATAATCAATTAAATATAATTATAGTAAGTATTTAATAATAGTTAAGTATAATTAATGAAATATAATTATTAAATATAACAATTCCTTTAAATATGTAATATTGAAATTTTTCTCTATCCCAATTTCGGGAATCTATAACGTAGATATCAAAAAAATGCAAACTCACCAAATGGTCCAATTGCGGTGGTGACGTGTGGGAGTAGATGGGACCGTGTGGACCAACGGGACCAAGATGGAGTCCCAGCTGGCTCTCCGCGTGGTTCCTCAGAACGTTTATGGCATCGTCCAGTCGTTCCTCCATCCGCGTTCCCTGTACCAACAGAATACCGGACACGCGACTCGATTACACACCAGTCCGACTTTGGTCTACGGGATCACCAGCGTCGAAGGTTTCCATGGAAAATCTCAACTCGAGCGACTTCGACGCTGGCGGTGGTTCTTTAGAGATTTTCTTCTGAAGCAATGGAGAAGCGTGTGTGGAAACGAAGAGAGCTGAGTGTCGAGTGTGTTTTCAAGAGATAGCGCGGAACGTAGATTGATTTGCGAGGAGGAATTCAGCATGCTGTTAATCCTTGAACCGCGAAATACATTTAATTTCGGAGGATTTGCTAAGATCTTTATCCATCAGGGTAGCGAAAGGAATGAAATGATGCTTTCAACGTTGCATTAATTTGAATTTATTAATTATTAACTCGATGAACTTGTTTTATCTAATATTTTATACCGAGATATAAAATTTTCATAAAATACACATAAATTTGAGTATCTAATTCTATACCGATATAATTCATTCGTGTTAGAGTCAATAACAGAATGCTTAAATAAACTCCTCGTAAATCTATCGTTTATAAAATGATATCTTTAACAACGATTTCTGCGGTATAAGGATTAAACAAAGTCAACGGACGATTAGTGAGTAAAGAAAGGAATTTATTGCCGTCTCGGAAATTAAGTTAATAATTCTACGAATATATCACAATCTATGGATCACTGAAAACTTGCTCTGAATAGAACGTTTTCAAAGTTCTATCACGTCGATTATTGTTTTACTATTGGCTAAATAATTCGCAAGAAAGAATCTAAAAATTTAAACATACAGTTTTCCGCTGCAGCTTAAGCTAATGTAAAAACAACGTAACTATTTAAACTCATTTTAAAACCTCCCAGAAATCAATATCATAAAGCCAGGGGTTACCTTAAATCAACGTAAAATCTACAATTACTTCTCGACATTAACGCTCAAAACCGGATGTTTCATTCTCAACTTATCGTCCGAGGTAACAGTAAACTGATCAAGGGGTTGGAAAGACGTGTGCCGCGGTTGATCCCGGTAAAACCGTCGCAGGTGTCATGTGTACACAGAAATAATCACGATCGTGTGAGTGGTTC